GATGAATAGGGGCAAAATTGTAAGATCCTAAACTGTGAAAGCAGATTCCAAGTCACACACACACACTCAATACTAAAAAAATAAAAACCTAACTGTCTAAGGGAGCTTAAGCACAATCTTTGTCCAACAAGTGGCTTATGCTGACCTAGGGTGACCTATAGAAAGCCAGGCTGAAAAATAAAAAATATATTTTTAAAAAGATTTTATTTATTTATTTGAAAGAGAGACAGAGATAACGACAAAGAGCATGAGTAACAATGTGGGGCTGGATCCCAGGACCCTGGGATCATGACCCGAGCTGAAGGCAAATGCCTGACCGAATGAGCTACCCAGGCACCCCTGAAAAATAAAAAATATTTTAAAAAGAAGAAGAGGGGCACCTGGGTGGCTCAGTCTTTAAGCATCTGCCTTCGGCTCAGGTCATGATCCCAGGGTCCTGGGATCGAGCCCCCCATTGGGCTGCCTGCTTGGCGGGAAGCCTGCTTCTGAGTTCCCTCTCTCGCTGTGTCTCTCTGTCAAATAAATAAATTTTTAAAAAAATCTTTAAAATAAAATAAAGAAAAAAAATAATCTGAGCAGAGACAATGGAAGCTTCACAGTCTGCACACAAACCAGGAAATAGACTTTACAGAATTATTTAAGAATTAAACAAATAAAGAAGTATCCAGACATACAATGGTTACAACAAGGCAACAAGTGGCCAAGTCAGGGGCTGCAGGGGTAGCAAAGTTTTTCTTCTGCCCTTCTAGGTTCTTTGGCTGGTTTAAGAATTAAATTGACACAAGACGGATGAACAGGAGAAAAACAGGTTGAATAACATGCATCCCTCCTGTATACATGGGAGAGACCCAGGAAAACAAGAGTAGCTCCCCTAAATGGCCAAAACCATCACTTTAAATACTATCAAGTGCCTTCTAGCTGGACTAAGAATCAAATTGACATGAGGAACGTTAACAGAAGAAAATCCAATTTAATAGCATACGTGCAGGGAATCCACACAGACATGGAAATTCCAAAGACAGTCAGGTGCAATGAGGTGCATAGGTCATCCTGAACTAAGGAGGAGCGGGTAGGGTCCTGGGACTTCAAGCGGAAGGAATGCACTTCACAGGAAGATGAAAACCAGGAAATGTTTGCGGGGCCACTCGGAAACAATGGGACAGAGAGGACTTCGATCGACCAGGCCTTGCTAGCTTCCTCCCTGCCTAGCCTCCCTGTTCCCAACCTAACAAAGTTATCCATGGTGACAGCTCAGTTCCTGGAGCAGGTCCTCTGCCTGAGTTCTTTTTAGGCAGTTGGGGGAGGGGGGAGGAAGAAGTGGAGATTTTCCTGAATCTGCCGGGTTTTGAGTGCCTTTTTTTTTTTTTTTTTTAAGTAGTTTTTTTTAAGTAGTCTCCATGCTGGGCATGGAGCCCAAGGCGGGGCTCAGACTCACCACCCTGAGATCAAGACCTGAGCTGAGATCAAGAGTTGGACGCTCAACTGACTGAACCACTCAGGTGTCCCAGTTTTGATTGCTCATGAGGGTGAGGTTGCTGTGCAGATCTAAGTCCATGCCATCTTCGTTGGCAAGAGTTTCTAGAGAATTCAGTATCCTTCTCTTCCTGGTACATGGAAGGAGACACCCTTACAAATGGAGATTTCCCTTATAATAGGAACGTCTCTTATAAAAGGGAAACTTATACTTGGTCTTCAGAGCTTCTCTCTCATGCCTGCAGTTTCTTAGTTTGCTCCCCTTTAAGGCATAAGGTTTTTTCTTTGAGTGTGATGAAAATGTTTTAAAATCAGATTACTGAGCGGTGCCTGGCTGGCTCAGTCAGCGGAGCGTGGGAATCCTGATTTCGGGGTTGTGAGTTCAAGCCCCATGTTGGCTGTAGAGATGACTTAAAAATAAAATCTTAAAAAAAAATTTTTTTTAAATTAGATTATTGTGACGGTTGCATCATTCTGGAAATAGACTCAAATCCATCGAATTGTACACTTAATTGTGCAAACTAGATAGTATATAAATTATATCTCAATCAGGCTGTTTTAAAAAAGTTGGGGGTGGGCCTGGTACAGAAAATAGAGAAGGCAGGACATATAAAGGGGCATTGAATGCCACTACTCACCGTCCCTAACAAACTGACCTCTTTCCATTTAATCCAGCATTCCCCTAAGTCACCAAAAGTCTCTTCCAGTGGAGGGGACGTTTTCAACAACTCCAGTCCTGGAGTGGTTCCAAGGTATACTCACTCTAGAAACACTGCTGTATGTCTGTGGAAAAGGATGCATCGTCTAGGAGACATCCCTCCAGCTGAGCTGATTCTAGCCCAGCATGGTCTCTGAACTATTTTACAATTCTGTAAATTGTAGGGAGTTGATAGCCATGCAGGTTCTGTCCTGTCTGTCCTCCCTGTGGAAAAACCAGTTTTGTCCCCGCTTGCAATTCATGGTTAGCAATCCTTACTCTATATTAATTTGTGCCTCTGCACCTTCTCTTTTGAATAAATTATTACATCTGCCCGGTTCTCTCATGAGTAGTAAAAAATCCTTAACACATTTTCAGGTTTCCTATCCATATGAGAGTCGCGATCTTACCTTTTACCGAAAATGATCTTTTATTTTTTTAAAGATTTTATTTATTTATTTGACAGAGAGAGAGCACACAAGCAGGGGGAGCGGCAGGCAGAGGGAGAGGGAGAAGCAGACTCCCCGAGGAGCAGGGAGCCTGACTCGGGACTCGATCCCAGGACCCTGGGATCATGACCTGAGCCAAAGGCAGATGCCTCACCGACTGAGCCACCCAGGCGCCCTGAAAATAATCTTTTTAACAATTTTATCTGCATGTAAGGTCTCATGCATCCTGTTGGCAGGTATATAAAGACTAAAGTCAAAAGCTTTAAAAGGGAGAGGAAAGTCGGCCTTACTGAACGTGGAACAGTGGTGAAGGTTGGATACCCATTTGGAGAGCCTGTTTCCACTAGAACCCGTGTTTCTCTGCATCTCACGTGGCACATAAGCACACATTGCAGCAGCACTGGGGGGCCCCTGAGGACCAGGAAGCTAGAATTCTGGATTATCGGGCCCCCTCTCCATGCCCAGCCCCCGCCCCCTCTGCAGGCTTTCCATAGCTCCAAGTTCAACCCACCCCTGAGGTGGTGAGCCGCACAGCTTGCACCCAGGAGCCCACCTAGATCTCCACGCTCCGGAAGTCAGAGAGAACACTGACCCCGGGAGCCTTCTCCAGAGCAGGGGGTGAGATGAAAGAGACGCTCCTTACCGTCGAACCAGGGCTGAGGGTAAGAAAATGCCTTCCCCCTGTGCACTTCATTTGCCTGGCATTGCAAACAGGCACCAGGGTGTAGGGTAATTGTTCATGGCAAGTGCACAGGGAAATTCGGGTCAGTTAAGGGTCAGTTAAGGCAGGGTTATGATTTGACCCTGGTCTATTCAGAAAATGTTTATAGGCACTTACAGGTTAGGTGTGTTCAGACAGAGAGAGAGATTCAAAAAGTACTGAGAGGAACTTTTCTCCTTGCTCCCAGCCCATCCCCCGTAATAGTGCCCGAGTTCCAGGGCATGGTATGGAGCAAAGGAAGCCCACCGTGTGTCTGTATTACTCCCAGCCACTCAGAAGCATGTCTTACCTTTTTCATCCTGCCTGGGGAAGGCAGTTTAAGCATTTACTGGTGCGTGTCCTGGGTGAAGGCCAAGGACGTTGGGTACAGAATGGGAAGCTGTGCATTCCTCTGAATATACCCTGTCATGTGTGAACAATGAATCCGGATCCCGTGACCTACAGGGCTTATTATTCCAAGCTGCATCTTCCCCATTTCAACTGCTGGGAAACACCTGTGTGGTTTAATATCCTGTGAGCAATATTTTAAAAATTAATAACCCGCAGTTCTTTATGGGGGGGCTGCTTCTCTGAATTTTCTGTTTTCTACAACCAAACTCGGCATTATTCCTCTCAGTTGCACATTTCCTCTAAGCATCATGCCTTTTATTCTTCATATTAAAGCAGAGTTAATGATTTCTCAGGTGGTACTATGCAGTCTCTAGGTCACTTGGATGGGTCTCCAAGCTGATGACTCATTCAGATCTAGGGCAAGGTGCTTGCTTACAAAGGCAGTTTCCCCAACGGTAAAATGGGGTTGACAACAACGCCCAGCGCCTCGAGTAGCTGCAAGAGCATTACTGCACACGGATGGCCCCCGGGGACCTGGCTCAGCACTCTCGTCTGCAAGCATGCTGCTCAGGGCTGTCAAGGCCATGACTGCAGAAGAGGAGCAGGCAAGGTTGAGCCAGATGACTGTAAATCACTCCTCCGCTTGTCCGCACATTGGAATCACCTGGGGAACTCAAAAAAAATACCCCTGCTGGAAAAATAGCCAGCCCCAGAGATTCTGGCTTCGTTATTTTCAGTGCAGTCTGGGCACTGGGGTGTAGTACAGCTTCCCAAGTGATTCAAATGTGCACCCAGGATTGAGAGCCGTGTATGACTCTGGAACGCTTTGGAAATGAGATTGTCCTCATAGCTCTAGTCTCTGGCGGCACAATGTTCTTTGAGGGAAGATTGCTAGAGGGATCTCCAAGCTAAACAGATTCCCTGTACTTTTCTCGTAAAGATCATGTTGCGCATGGAGGCCACGCAAGGATCTTCCAGTCCGTGCAGCTGCCCGGGGTCCCCAAGGGTTTGGAACCTGATAAAAGTGAGGTTCCCTATAACACATGTGTGTTTCTCATAAAGCTCTACATGCAGAAATTGGCTTCTGAGACAATGAAAAGGAAAGTAAACTTGTTTGAACAAAAGGAGTTTCTCTTCCTTCAAGCCACACCAGCCTATAAGCCTTCACAAAGCAGGGGTGGCAGCTCCTGATAGACTGAGTGGCTCATTGTTAAGATAAGAGGTGTGCACTCCCTGGCCAGGAGACCTCAGCGCTCAAACTATCTGCGGTCTGTATCGAAGCGAAGCTCCAGGATATGCAGAACCTTCTTGCAGCGCCTGACCCACCACCATGAGGACCTGGCTGCCTCGACTCAGTCATCTGGACCATGCCACCAAATGTCTCTTGGTTTTGGCCGTGTTGGTCGTCTTCATCTTCATGCTGCCCTCCTTTATGAAGGAGCCCAATACAAAAGCTTCCAGGTAAGGTTCTGACCCTTTCCAAATTCCTCATAATTTATTGGAGGCACGTTAAAAGACTCTAGCCCAGGGAAGCCCAGGGAGCTCTGCGACACTACCATGTCCACACAAGGTGTCAGGAATCAGGAATGTTGTCAACAACCACTGGCAAGGAAGATCCAAGGGGGCACCTAGGGGACACAAAGGGGGCAGGAGTGGGAAAACCAAGGTGTCCGGATGCCTGGCGGCATGTCCAGGGGAAACGCAGGCAGGGGCTGGCAAACTATGGGTCTGGGTCTCCAGAAGGCCCAGACAGGAGACAACTTCCCCTCCAGGACTGTGAGTAATAATGGCGACTTTGGGGATAGTTTTCACGTGCCATTCGCCGCGTCCTAAAGCAAAAGATTTATCCCGTGGATGCCATTCACTTCCAAATCACACTCTCCCTGAGGAGTTGGTCAGAAAATGGGAGACCTCTCACTTAGCTTAAATCTGGGCTCTAAGTTCATCCTTCAAAAGGACCTTATAGACCAGTTTTCTTATAAAATCAACACATCTCCAGCAGAGGAAGACCCTTTTCTTTCCAGACTCAAGTTTTTTTGGAATGACTTTATTTCACTGTTCTTTTTTTTTTTTATTAATTTATTTATTTGTGAGAGAGAAAGAACATAAGCAGAGAGAGCCACAGACAGAGCAGGCAGAGGGAGAAGCTAGATCCTCACCGAGCAGGGAGACCGATGTGGGACTCGATCCCAGGACCCTGGGATAAAGACCTGAGCCGAAGGCAGATGCTTAACTGCCTGAGCCACCCAGGTGTCCCTATTTCACTGTTCCTAAATTTTTTTGAAAGTAATACATGCTCTCATAATGTTTAGAAAAATCCAAGCAAGAAGTGAAGGTCTCTCCATCACATCCCCATGTCTACCCACTCTTAAGGGGTGACCACACTTGATTCTTTGGTGTACATATAATTATTACGTAATTGTAGGCAACACTTCTATTCTAAGTGCCTTATGTACATTAACTAATTCTGATGGTTATGAATATACGGAGACACAGAGAGCTGACGTGAACTGCCCAAGGTCACCCCACTAGGAAGTCACAGGGCCAGGATTCAAACCCTGATGTTTTGCTTCTCCACTCCCTCGGACGTGTTGACTCTCAAGAGACTCAAAGTCTAATGGAGCAGAACGACATAGACCAGAGAGGGTGCGTGATATTAGTAGTCGTGATAAATCACCGCAGTTAAGTCACATGTGTCAAGTGCTATGGGAGCAAATTGGAAAGAGTCATTTCAACCCTGGGGGGCAGGGTGAGAACATCCTGGAGATGGTGGTGTTTGTAGAGCTCCTGAAGGCAGTGTGACATTCCAGCACGCAGGAACATTGCACAATAAGAAAGCAGCCGGAGCAATGGTGTGGACGCGGGGAGGCTGATGACTAACATAACTCATGCTGACTGGGGGCTTGGCGTGCCAGGCACTGGTCTCCAAAACCCCTGATTAGCGACCACATATCAAGGCTTTGGGGTAAATACTATTATTAACCACAACCTCTTTTGCAGATAAGAGAGGTTAGGCAAATTATCCAAGGTCACCCTGGTCACTTAAGTTCAGACCCAAGCCAGCTAGCTCCAGAGTCCACGTTCCCAGTCACAGCCCCGGGATGGCGTCACTCCCCCAGACCTCGCCACTCCCTC